TCGCAGCAGCTCCCCCTTTTCCTCGCGAGAGCGAATATAAGACTTGCTGTTCTCTTTTGCCAACAAACCGGCTTGATGAAGCTGCGGGAAATGTTTGCTTACCAGGAAGCACGACAGGAGAGAAAACGTTTCTTCGATGGAAATAGAACCTGCGAGATTACACCGAGGGATATTCGGCAAGATCTCCGAGAGGATGAGACGGAGCGTCCGCACTTGAAATCGGGAAACCCGGGTTCTTCTGGCTCTTTAAACTCGATTATGTCAATGTTGGCGGTAGGCTTGCAGACTCGTAAGCGCCGAAATGATCGTAGATTTTCCATTTACACGTAGTGGACTTTAAATGCGAAACAAACGCCTTCAGTTCCCCTTATAACATTGTTGACAAATCAACCTCGTAATCATGCATTATTTTTCAGAAGATCCCAACCAACGCTGGAAGATTACAATTCATTAATTAAAAAATAATTAATAGATGCGTAATTTCCCAACTTCGAGGGTTCATATTAATATGAAACCTCCAAACAAAGCTATGAAGGATTTTTAACATGTCTGAGATGATCAGATGAACATTGCGCATATGAATAATTGGAAACTGAAGAGTTTTATTCGCAAATTCTCGCGATTCGAGCATGTTACAAGTACAGCATAATCACGACATATCCGTAGACGATTATGTCTTTAAAATCTTGAATTCACAGTACTTTCATGAATATCAAATAAAAGAATCGTCTTATCCGGAATTCATGAAAGATTGTTGTAAAAGGGGTGTTATTGAAATAAATCAGAAGCACCGCAACAGAGTCTAAAAATGGATGATCAGGTCATTTTGACCTTTGATTAGGTAACCAAAGCATAAATTCGATTTAAAAATATTCCTTCAGTAGTTTTATTGATTTAAAGCATTACATGAAACATGTTTCTGCATCTGCTCTTATGGTATGATCACTTGCTTTTTAGATACTTGCTTTTTTAAACAAGCATCTGGAAGATCTATTGCACACTTGGCGCAAATAAAATCCCTATTCACCCACTTTCCAAACGTATTGTATGGCTACTCCTGAATCTCGCTTTGACCAGTGAAAAGAGAAACAAGAGCCCGAATCAGACAAACCAAACGAATGAATGATTTATGAGCATTATTCGAGACGAAGTGGCAATCGCAAAACACGAGATCTTCATGAAGAAATACACGAAGTTTTAAATTCAGTAATTGATCAAGCGCATGTTCCTGTTGGCGAAAAAAATTGTACATATCGTAAAAGGGGAACAGCGATAAAAATGAAAAACGGAAGAAACCCATACAGCGCAACCCAGCAGCTTTTCAGCAGTCCGCGATCAATTTCCTTCCTTCCAGCATCAACGACCTCTGGGTCGACGAAATTTCAGCTCCCCTTTCAAAATACTTCGTTCGTATTTCTTAGGTATTAAAATATAACTAGTCTCCAGAATGAAAAGCGAATCTTTCCTGCTTGAGAATGTGTTCGTTTTATTCTATGCCCTCGAACAATGGAGAGTTGGCACGAATATGCGAGAATATCCAAGGGCGCCGTAATTTCCTTTTTATTTATTTATTCAAATTATGTTCCTTCGACGAGGAAAAATACATGCAAATTCACGGACCTCTTCCTAAATGCTAAAAATGCGCCTAATCAAAGACTTTCCCGGGTTTAAGACTCGAAGTCTAACTTATTGTGCCAATTTTGATTCCACGGCAAAACAGTTCACTTTTATTCAACATCTAACGGTTTAAGCCATCAACACTTTTTCTTCTTGATATGGTTTTGAATTTTTTTATTAGCATCTCTCAGGAGTAGTTTGTAAGTCTCGACTTTGAGCACTAAAAGAAGTTAACTACTAGGAAAGGACCATACTTTAAAACAGAGGTGTTTGACGCTTCCCCATGTTGTTTTTAGCGCGCTTTTTAGATGCATCATGAATTATTTTGGCAAATTGGAAGTTTCGGGACAAATTGAACTAGGAGACAGAACTCCATAGTGCCACATAAAGTTTTCTTCTGTGCAAAAAAAAAAAAAAAAAAAAGGCAGAACTCAGGCCGGTGATTCAACAGAATACAACCTATTCCGGTCTTGTACATCTGCTGGAACCAAGACCGTGCAGAACATCCGGAATGCTTCCCCAAGGTTCTGAGATTAATGTACTTCCGTTCAAAGAAATGACTGAACGATGTACGTATGCTACCCAGAAAGGCACGTGGGTTTGGAGGAACCGAAACAGACGATTTTATCATTAGTATATTGTGAAAAAACCGCAGGCAGCCGAATCTCAACCGTTCTCGTTTCAAAAAATGTTTATTCATGTTTTTCTCAGAAAATTAGCATAAAATTAGCTATAAACCTATTCCGCAGAAAATTTGCACAAACGACTTTGCGAGGAAATTTTCAAAAGAAAGCTTTTAGCAGGAATGCATATTTCTTGGCTAGCCAGCATTGTTTAAAATGTTGTGCAATTTCAGGTTCAATTCGTGGAATATCGCTTCTAGATTGCTAAAAAAAATAACAATTCGAATTGGACTTGATGAAAAAAATTTTATAAATTCAAAATTATTATGATGCTCGAAATGTATAGCGTCATTAGCGTGTAATAAATATGCAAATAATTTACGCCGAAAAGTTTGGACCAGGCAGCACATAAATCAATTTGCATCCAAATTGTATTTGAATCTAGATCTAAAGAAGAATGAAAATCAATTTCCTTTGAATTCATTTTATCTTTTACAGTAGCATGATAGTTACTACGGACATTCGAAAAATACCCCAGAAAAAAGTTGTTCTAAGAAACGAATATCTAAAAATAAAAGTACGAGGCCCGCTGTGAAGGTAATTTGAAGCTATACGAATTTTCAATTTCATTGGATTTCAAAATGTACTCTCAAAGAAAAAATATTAAAAACATATTTTATTAAACGATTTGAATCTGATTTAGATTTTTATTATTTTTATTTGAAATATTGTTCAAGAATCATTTCAGGGTTTTCTGAATAATCTAAATTCCATTGAAGAAAAGGTTCTTTTTATGGGACTAATTTCTTCCACACGTAAATATGGTTTTTTTTAAAATCTCCGTAAAAAAGGATAATAGTCTGCCCGCATGAATTCCGAACTCTTGAATACCTTCTTCACTTCCATTCACTATCAATAATAAGATAAATAAATGGACGGGAGACATGCGGATTTACTCAAGACAGTTATTCGGGACAATTTGTTGGATTTGATTTTTTCCATAACATGGTAAGAGAACCCAATGGGAACAAATAAAAATTCGGTATATAGATAAAATCGTTTTAAAAATATCATTGCAGAGAGAGAGAGTGTGTGTGTGTGTCTACCTGTATCTGCAGTGAATATAGTTTTTGGGGTTTTAAAAACTGGTCGTTCCTTCGTATGAAACGCCACTGCATGAGGATACAAAGATTTTCGAGGAGGGAAAGAATTGAGGAACCACAAAAAAAATAGTTTTAGAGAGAATTTAAGTGTAGAGAACACGCATAACATAGGAGGAGAGCCCAATGCTGAGAACAAAGAAAAATTCTTTATGCAGAAAAATTTGTTTTAACGAAGATCATTGCAGGGAGAGTCCACCGGTGCTGAATATAAATATATACAGTATATATATATATATATATATATACATATATATTGTACATACTTTTTTTAAGGAAAAAATCTGATTGTTCCTCCGCATGAAACGCCGCTGTATAAAAATCCAGAGAATTTCGAGACAGGGGATAAAGTGGGAATATTAAGGAAAACTCACGCGGTGGTGCAGTTTCGCTGACGATGAGATGCACGCTCTTGACTTGAAATCGACCGCCGACGTCGTTGGTGGCCAGACAAACGTACACACCGGCTGTGTCGCGTCGCACGGATTCCAACGTGACCTCGAGCCGAGGTCGGCCACTGCTCGGATCCGTGGATCCCATGACCGAAGACCCGTTCACATCCCTGTAGGAATGCCCCTCGAATACGATCAAGTCTGCGTCCGCAGCTCCGCGATCTTCCGCAGATTCCTCCACTCGCTTTACCCACTGCGAATGTAAAATAAATATATATATAAAAATAAATAAATGAAATAAATAAATCAACGTGGTTCAGCCATTCCTGAAAATAATAAAGCAAATCTAGAGAATTTCCCCAAATTGAAAAATTTGACCCAGCGGAAGTACTGTACCAAAATTTCGGCACTCTCGCAGCCACAGCTATTTAATAAGCGATCGCTATATATAATACAGCAGAATCTCGCTACAAAAAATCTCCTAATAACGAATTAAAGTTTAAAATTAATTTATTCATTTCGGTACCTGTCCAATAACTACAATGCTATTTCGATTACTTTTCAACAAACTTTCGTCTACAACAAAGTTTTTTTAAAGGTCCCAAACGCTTCGGTGTAACGACATTTTACTGAAACTGCTTCATATAAAGTAAATTTAGATTTCAAAAGTTCCGCGGTCTTCTGCAGATTCTGCTCTCGCATTACCCACAGCGATAGAAGGCAAAAATAAATCAACGGGATTCAGCCATTCCTTCCTGAATATAATAAAGAAAATTAATGTAGAGAATTTCCCCAAATTGAATTATTCTGACTCGTACAACGAAAGTAACAAAGCTTCCCCAGCAAAAATATCTAAGGGATGTTTTTATCGACGGATTCTGCGATTTGATTTTGAGTTACATTTTGGCTCAGCAGCTGTGAGCATAAAACCTCAGTCCAGAATCTCGATCCGCGATCTTTTGCAGATTCCTCCGCTCGTTTTACCCACTGCGAATGTAAAAATAAATGAACGGGGTTCAGCCATTCCTGAATATAATGAGGTAAAGTTAGAGAATTTTCTGATATTAAATGATTCTTCTTAGGGAAGGAAACAAAATTTTCCCAGCAAGAATACATCTATATACGGGATGCTATTATTTTAAAAAATATGCTCTTTTCTTTTAGTCTCATTTTATGGCACAGCTGTGAGCAAATAATATTATTTAAAAATCGCTCCTGTCAAAGATAGAAGGAGAATAGCCAGAAAAGTGCTGCAGAAACTCTGCTGATTGTAAATAAAATCAAGAATAACCAACCCGAAAAATGTCGTGAATTTTATGGTATTACAGTATATCAATAAGCCCACAGTTCCGACAAAATTAAAATGAAACTTTGCCTGAAAAAGGAATCCTCACAAGAAGACCACATATTCCGGGAAAACTGCGAAAAACTATGAAGAGATTCTCAAACATTCGTTCTCAAGTTTGTCGGACCTCGCTGTTCCAAACTGCCATAACAAGTGATAACAGAATTGCCAAAGGGGTAATCTGCGATTGCACAAGTGTAACGGAAAATTTTGCGAAATAACGGAAAACTTGTCGAAGGAAATATTTCAAACGAATCAAAATGTGACAATTGTGATTCGTTTTACTACTGTACGTGCACACCGATGATTTTTCATCTCACTCGACCGCCGTTATAATTCTGTGAAGCACTCATAAGTTTGCGACAAAGGTTTCCGGGGTTTCATGATTCACGCTCAAAATTATTAGAAGTCTAAAATTATCTCCAGCCTTCGAATTTATAGGAATGCAAAAAAAGAAAAAAGGAAATGAAAGGAACAGATCAACCGGCATTCGAGATATAAAATTCCCATGCAGTATGCGGAAGTTAACGCGCTTCATCTGAAATGCATGAACACTGGGCTGATTTCTGGACAACACGGATTCCCGGTTTAACCTTGCTTTGCGCCTCTTTTTTTCTTCTTTTAGAGCCAAAGAAAACCGTTGTTCGCTCAGATTCTCATTTTCATGATTTCACAAGTCATGAAATCGTGAAGTACTGAATTGGCGATATAAAAATTGATAATCAATGACTGTCGTGATTTGCATGAGGCAATTCGCTTAAACTTCATCAAGGCCTTTGGTCAATTGCACTTCGCACAGCACGGGATAACGGTTCTATAGAGAATCTGGTTTTTTATCAATTATAAAAAATGAAAGGCTGACATTCGAAACTTTCTTCCTCGACAGAAAAGAAAGTAGTTTCGGCAACCCTCCCCAAAGACCGATTATTAAAAGATGTGCAAAAATGAAACAGATCGTATATCGAATTTAAAAATTATTGCTCCACACACAAAAAACCTTAATGTTGCCAGGTTCAAAAAGTGTTGTGATCAACAAGTGTCTTCACTAATTGCTCCATATTTGCCGATATTGGGACGAAACCAAGAAGGACTAACATAAACATTCACAATAGAGCGATCTGATGACCTGCTTCAATCGCTGCTTGTAACTTTTCTTGCTTAGAATTGAGTTGGTAACTACAGTGAGACCCCCACATGCGGACTCCTCAACCTGCGGACGATTCGACCTAGGGACACTTATTTTACCATTAAAAAATCACAAAAAGTCCCAAAACTAGGACACTGACTCGACATAGGGACATTTTGCAATAAAATTGCAAATAAATTTCAAGCAAAATTACAAGAAACACATGTTTCCAACCCTAAAATTGATGTAAGAAAAGTTCTTGGACATTTCTCTCCCCAATTTACCATCCATTTAGCTAATTTAAAATAATTACCTCCAGCATAGAGGGACTTCCTTCTCTCTTTTTCACTTGAATTTTATTTTTACAGAAAATGCCAACACTTCTAAATGTACTGTACAGATGAGGTATCAGTATTAGGCAATTCGCTTAAACTTCATCAAGGCCTTTGGTCAATTGCACTTCGCACAGCACGGGATAACGGTTCTATAGAGAATCTGGTTTTTTATCAATTATAAAAAATGAAAGGCTGACATTCGAAACTTTTTTCCTCGACAGAAAAGAAAGTAGTTTCGGCAACCCTCCCCAAAGAACGATTATTAAAAGATGTGCAAAAATGAAACAGATCGTATATCGAATTTAAAAATTATTGCTCCACACACAAAAAACCTTAATGTTGCCAGGTTCAAAAAGTGTTGTGATCCCCAAGTGTCTTCATTAATTGCTCCATATTTGCTGATTAGGACGAAAGCAAGAAGGACTCACATAAACATTCACAATAGAGCGATCTGATGACAAGCTTCAATCGCTGTTTATAATTTTTCTTGCTTAGAATTGAGTGGGTAACTACTTCAAAATCCATTATATAATATGTTTATCCCATCAGAACTCACGTGAAGCAGCAGCCTGGAATCGGATTTGACTTCGCAAGAAAGGGCGACGTTTGTTCCCATGATCGCTGATTGATTCACAAACTCGCTGCTCGTCACCAGAGCGTGAACCGGGGAAGAAGTCTGCGATTTGCCAGCGATTTTCTCTGCTGAAAATAAATGGCAAATCAAAAAGAGTTCGTCGAGCTATGGAATAGCGCGTATAAAGGGGTAATACGTCGTGTGGGCAAACAGAATGCGAGGACAAATAATTTAGGGACGTGCCTTGAACAATGACGGTGAAATTTGCCGCAGCTTGCCCGGATTTGCTCGATGCTCTGCACGAATATTCGCCCGAATCCGACGTTCGCAGAGGTTGGAAAATATGGGACCATCGCGAATTTGATTTGTCCCTCCAACCACCGGTCTTCAGTTCCATTCCTTCCTGTGCAGGCATTGAAATTCATCCGAAACACGGCAGAGAAAAATAAACTTCGAGAAGAAACTTCAGTGGAACCTTCATTATCAGGCTCAGCGGTTAGATGATTTATAATCTACGAAATAAGGAAGTGAAGCCCACCGATCTTTGGATATTTCATATTAAAATTTGAACAATGCAGTAATGATTCGATTTTACATATTGGCAACCGGCCTTCAAAATTTGACTAATAGCTCGAAGAACACTACATGTTTCAGATAGCTGGTGAATCGACAAAATAAATAATACCTTGATCAATGAGATTCTCATCAAAAGCGCTGGTAAAAGAAGACCAATTGCATTTTGAGCAACCAAAAACCATGCATCATGACACCATATTTCCACAATTACAGTTTTCATAAGTATAAAGTAGCACTTTTTTATGCTAGTACGGATAAGCTAGGGTTTCTTATAGTGCATAATGATGGGCATATTTCCTCGAAAGTTCTGCTCCAATAATTCAGAAAGTGGAACAAAATGAAATTATCGTGTACACGGAAATTTAAAAGTGTGCTTCTGGGTCGTGGCTCAGAATTTCTTGTAAAAAAAAACCTTCGTGGTTCATTTTTACGAAAGCTCATCCAACAAATGAATCGAGGTGGGAGATGTGGAGAAAATTTTCTAAATTATTTTTTAAATTGTAGATACTTCCTTCAGGTGGCGGCTGAAACGTTGTATAGGCCTTCAAAGCAGTTAAACAAAAATTTCCCAGATAAGATTCGCGGTTTTAAATTTGACATAACCCCTCGTTCATGTTAAAGTTGAATGGTTTTCAAGTGCGGCCCGCTTGAAAAAGACAATTCAGATAATATCTTCTTCTGTGTATCAACACCTTGATGCGTCTGTTCTTCTTTTCTTTCTTTTTTTTTGCCCTGAAACTTTTTGATTCTCCTTGTTCTTCTGTAGCATTTCCAGAATTAGGATGAATCTTGTTGATGAGTTACTTTGTAAGGACGGATTCTGGTCGATAACGTGGGGCGTTATTCGGTATACTATGTTAGTTGAGGAACGGATAGAACAGGTTTTACTGGTTTTGAAAAAGTAACAGTGTGGGATCAAAGATTACTTACCCTGAACCAGCGAACAGTAGGCAGTGGATCTCCGAGAACAACGCATCGCAATCGGAAATCCGTCCCAGGTGACAGTCGAAATACACCGTCATTTTGCTCAGAAACCGACTTTTCCACGATCCTGGGAGTTGACATTCGTTCTCGGTTCGACACGTAGTCATTGCTAAGAATTTCTTTGAAAAAAAAACAGAATTTACGAAAACCGATTGTTTTAAATTCAATTTGGCTTGAATAAGAGGCTTTGGAAGCGATTTCATAGAATGAGGCTCAAGCACGAAATCGTGATCACGGATTTAGGGATACGTCGCTGTCGAATTTGAGAGAATTGGACGAATTTATTCAGACATGAAAAAAAATCGGAAGCTATTCACAGCTTGCCCGGATTTGCTCGATGCTCTGCACGAATATTCGCCCGAATCCGACGTTCGCAGAGGTTGGAAAATATGGGACCATCGCGAATTTGATTTGTCCCTCCAACCACCGGTCTTCAGTTCCATTCCTTCCTGTGCAGGCATTGAAATTCATCCGAAACACGGCAGAGAAAAATAAACTTCGAGAAGAAACTTCAGTGGAACCTTCATTATCAGGCTCAGCGGTTAGGTGATTTATAATATACGAAAATGAGGAAGTGAAGCCCGCCACCGATCTTTGGATATTTAATATTAAAATTTGACCAGTGCAGTAATGACTCGATTTTACATATTGGCAACCGCTCTTCAAAATTCGACTATTAGCTCGAAGAACACTACATTTTTTCAGATAGTCGGTGAATCGACAAAATAAATAATACCGTGATCTATGAGATTCTCATCAAAATCGCTGGTAAAAAAGACCAAATGCATTTTGAGCAACCAAAAACCATGCATCATGACACCATATTTCCACATTTAAAGTTTCGTAAGAATAAAATTGCACTTTGTTATGTTCGTCCGGATAAGCTAGGGTTTTGTATAGTGCATAATGATGGGCATATTTCCACGAAAGTTCTGCTCCAATAACGCAGGAATTAAAACAAAATGAAATAATTGTGTACACGGAAATTTAAAAGTGTTCTTCTGGGTCGTGGCTCAGAATTTCTTGTAAAAAAAAACCTTCGTGGTTCATTTTTACGAAAGCTCATCCAACAAATGAATCGAGGTGGGAGATGTGTAGAAAATTTTCTAAATTGTAGATACTTCCTTCAGGTGGCGGCTGAAACGTTGTAGGCCTTCACAGCAGTTAAACAAAAATTTCCCAGATAACATTCGTTGTTTTACATTTGACATAACCCCTCGTTCATCTTAAAGTTAAGTGGTTTTTAAGTGTGGCCCGCTTGAAAAAGACAATTCAGATAATATCTTCTTCTGTGTATCAACACCTTGATGCGTCTGTTCTTCTTTTTTTTCTTTTTTTTTGCCCTGAAACTTTTTGATTCTCCTTGTTCTTCTGTAGCATTTCCAGAATTAGGATGAATCTTGTTGATGAGTTACTTTGTAAGGACGGATTCTGGTCGATAACGTGGGGCGTTATTCGGTATACTAGGTTAGTTGAGGAACGGATAGAACAGGTTTTACTGGTTTTGAAAAAGTAACAGTGTGGGTATCAAAGATTACTTACCCTGAACCAGCGAACAGTAGGCAGTGGATCTCCGAGAACAACGCATCGCAATCGGAAATCCGTTCCAGGTGACAGTCGAAATACACCGTCATTTTGCTCAGAAACCGACTTTTCCACGATCCTGGGAGTTGACATTCGTTCTCGGTTCGACACGTAGTCATTGCTAAGAATTTCTTTAAAAAAAAGAAACAGAATTTACGAAAACCGATTGTTTTAAATTCAGTTTGGTTTGAATAAGAGACTAACCTTCGCTAAAGTATCTTACTCCGAGTTCGTGCTTTAGCACTAGTGCCTAAATCCCTATGCAGCGACAGCTTAAACTCTCTTAACCTGCTTAAATAAGTCTGTACTTTTTTTTAGCCTTCGATAAGCGTAAATTTTGTGAAACTTTTTCAATTGAATTGCCCGTCGGATTGATAATGAAATCAACAAGTGATGAATCGATTTCATCATGGATTTTCTGCACTCGCACTAGGTCTGCCTAAAAATTTTTTCGGCAGAGTTGGTATAATAAATGATAAAATTTTAAACTTCGTCGTTGGTGTGGCATATGAAGTTTAATGAATAATTATTTGAGGTTCCTTCAAGAAATGAAACGTTTTAGGATGCGTCACAAATTAAACACTAAGCGATGTTTACGATTTTTAATTTAAGGAAGCTGAAAAAGTTAGCTATATTATCTCTAAATTTCGATCAAGTTACTAACAACATACTTCTTTTTAACATATGTCATGATTAAAAGGGAGTATATAGAGTGCACGTCCTTTTAATTCTCAAGATGCGGCTACTGCCTGTTTATAAAAGTTCGAAGAGAGGATTCATGGTCGTAGTTGAACGTGTCCGGAAGATGCTAGGATTTCTCCATTTTCTCTCAAATTTTCTAACCTCAATTGTGTTCCACCGAAATGAATTACAAAATTACATGTACCGTAATCCCTGAAATATCCATGATTTTGAAATTGCCGTAGAGCGTGCATCTCATCTTGTATTTCGTAAGTAAGTAGAGGCGGCACTAAAAAGCATGAGGGAAGTTGTTCTTCTTGTAATTTTTTAGGAATTGTTTTCATTCCTGAAAATTATCGCAAAAAGGGCGAAGATCACAGTGCCGCACGTTTCGATAAAAAAAAATGCATTGACTCCATAGAGGCATAGAGGATCCATAAATAGAGGCAAAGTTATAAAAGCTAAAAATATTTCTGTTGATTCATAATTTTTCACATTCAGGTATGCAATTCAATTTCATTTTGTGCTGGGACAAAAAAAAATCCCTTTTGGGAGTTTAAAGGAAATTTCTGACTTTTCTCAGGCTGATTGACGCGTTTCGCAATATCTTAAAAAAACTAATCCACCATGATTCAAATTTTGTTGCAGCTGCATCTCACGCCTATCATGTCTCATGAGATTTTTCCAATAATTTTCCCATATTGAAAACATTTTTCCGGTTTTTTTTCCCACGGCAGTTTTGGCGGGTGGTACGCATGAGAAACTACGGTACCAAAAATCAATCGAAATTTTGTCGATGGTTTTTAGGTCCACTCTTCAGAGAGAAAAAGAAAGAAAGGAATCGGTAAGCACCAACCTGATTTATTCTGCACAAACAGCTCGACCTCGACCGTGACCGTGCCAAATCCGTTGATGGCACGGCACTCGTAGATGCCCGAGTCCTCGGCCCGGGTTCTTTTTATCTTGAGAGCGTGGCCCATGATTCGAATCCTGTTCCTCGCGTCTGCGTACACATCATCGCCCAAAATCTCCTCGCCGTTCTGCAAAAAAATAAGAAGAGAAATAAATGCAAAAATAAAAATATCCTGAGACAAATCGATGAGCAGATTTGCGAGTGAAGCGAGGCGAATCGGCGGATAACAATGTTCACCTTTGTAAATACCTTCATAATTTTTCGAGCTTCAACTTCGATAACATTTGCGTTGATTTTGTTTTATTCTATGGGTCAAGTACTCGCAAGCTACAACTGATTTTTGCGCGAACCTCCTTTCAACCCACACTGTCATCCTTCGGTGATTTCTTTTTTGCGAAGATCTTCGAAAAAAGATAATTGATCCTCATTTAAGCATACGTACATTAACTTTCAAGGCGGGCTTGGATAAGCCTAACTACGGAAAAAATTACCAACATGACCAAATGCTAACTAAGCCAAACCTGAACTTCTACAAAATTTGATGCTAGAGACAGTAATTTTTAAATTGTAGACTCATTTAGACTCAAGGAAACCTGAGAGCGAAGGTGATGGTGAACAATTCAACACTCCTACACTTGGATGAAAATTCTCTCGATAAATTTTGAACCTGAGAACATAATTAGGAACGATGAGCACTTCTATCAGACTTTAATTCAAGGTTTCCTCATTTCCGATGCCAAAAATGTCAAAATATCATTCAGCCAAGAAACAAGTTCACAACAGACGATCGATTCAGCAAATAAAACCAGCACTGGAATCAAAACGGAAAACAGCCGTGTAGTACTACTATAGATAAACCTCTTACAATTCCGTGACATAGTCCAGCATCGAAAGACAAAATCCTTGTAAAAGAGGGCTACCTACGCTAAATCTGTCTTATTTTTAGAGTAATGTATTCTAGCAAGTACTTTACTAGGATATGTCGTACCTCGAGCAGTCGAGCTACGGGGTCAATGCCACGCAACCGGATTTTTTTGGCAGCCATGGAATTTCCAAAATCTGTCTTATTTTTAGAGTAATGTATTCTAGCAAGTACTTTACTAGGATATGTCGTACCTCGAGCAGTCGAGCTACGGGGTCAATGCCACGCAACCGGATTTTTTTGGCAGCCATGGAATTTCCGGACAATTTGTCTACACATTGAATCAGTGTTTGTGAAATAATGAGACGAGCTTCTGAGCACGTTCGCTTATTGTCGTCGTATACAGGGGATACTAGACATTTTAATGACGGAAAATAAAGCTCACCTTGAACCATTCGTAAAATGGTGTTGGATCGCCTCCGACGGGACAATAAAGCTTAACTGATTCGCCTGAAATGGCTACAACTGGCTCGATGTTCCCGTAGATGATCGGAGGACCTGGCGAAAAGAAACAAAACAATAATCGATCAAGTATTCAATTTTTTGGGATGGCTCGGTCAGAAGAATATGCATCACTCTGTTCAGCCCAACTTTTTAGGCTCGGAAAATAAATTTATGTAGACTCGGTTGATTGATCGATTCGAGCCGAATACAGTACCTTTTGCCTGTGTCCAAAACACTCCTTACACTGAGTAAAGCCTAACACAAATGAAATAGGCGGCTTGCGGCTTTTTCCGCATCCTATTCAGTACTTATTGTGCCTGAAGCGCAATTGAAACCTTACATGGCTATCTTTGTTAAAAATGAATAAAACGGGGAAATTATTCCGCGAGTATAAGAAAAACTACTACTTTTGCAAATTCCTGGTACGCCGAGGCAATCCTTTTCCATGTTCTTCTACGTGAACGTTTACAGACATTTTCCAAAAAACGAACCCTTCCCCCCATTTAAACGCACCAAAACTCGATTCTCTGAGGGAAATGTGTACTGTACTGTACTGTATAAACGCATGAAAGTGAAATTTCCGAACCCACGATCGAACGAGCTAAAAATAAAAGCTGCAGCAAAAGGCTCTCTATATGGTTGCGCATAACGTCTCACTTTCATCGAAAGTGAGACGTTATGTAGCATCAATTAATATTTTTGTAAACCTGAAAGATAGAAATGTAACTTTTAAAATAAGTAGTCGAGCGATGCAAACGCTCCCACGAAATAAACGGAAGCCATTTTTCATGTTCCATCCCCGTCCAAAATCCACGAATAAACACCGAGCAGCAAAATCGGGGCTTCATTAAAAGACCGAGAATTTTTATGGTGTGTTCGCGAAAAGCAACAAAATAATTCAAAAATAATATTCGTTTCATAGGTTAAAGGCACCGACTTATGGAAGCTGTCACACAGAAAAATGTGGCTCGTTTTCGTGTTTTAACTTCATCCTAGACCCGGTGAGGACCTACCAACAAATCAAGTTTCCGTTAAGAATTCATACTTCTCTCATTCGTAATAAAAAATACTGTGAGTTGAGAATATTTTTTGCGCTCCATAACAAACCACTCTTACTACTAAATACTAAGTTGAGCCGATACTTTTGATGTTTAATCCCGCTAAAGGCAAGATAAGGGGAGCTAGGACTAAAAATTTACTCGTGATTTGGTGTTTCGCTTCTATACCCATAATTTAGAAAGTATCTATTCTGACAAATGATATAAAATCAACAACAACTAGGAATATTTCCTCCAATGTACAGGAGGAAGAAGTTTACGTTGAATACAGTCAAACAAGAAACGGTAACTAATGTATATTCTAATAATGTACGTTAATTTAAAATCCAACATCAAACCTTGAGCAAGAAAACAATGTTTAAATCAAAAAATTAAAATGTTTGTCTCGAAAAATGAACCACAGAATTAAGCCGAAAGGAATCCCAAACTTAAAATGGATTAAGGGAAGGAGGCCGTTGTTCAACCTACGAATCACATAGTAGCTACCTGCATGAGGAATATTTTAAATAATTACATTTGAATAATTATTCCAAAAATTGAACGGTTCTCCATAATTCGAGCACGCTTCACGACCCTAACGATGATTAGAGCTGCAAGTGAACTAATCACAAGGAAGAATTTCAAAAATTATTTCAAATACAGTACTGTATATAAAATGTTCTCGACTAAAAATTTTTTCGAAGCAAATTTCGAAAGAAACCCTTAAAATTATCGTAAAGCGGCCTTCATGAACCGTGATGTGAAAGGCAATTTTTCCGAAAATTCGAACCCTGCGACCATAAATTCATACACTTACCATTGTACATATGGGAAATAGACTACGTTGCACAAAGGTATCAAAGAGAAACATTCGAAAAATGCATTAAAGACTATTTCTTCTGTTCTTTTAGTGAACATAGAAGAGTTACGATTTTTTAAATGCTGAATAAACTTGATTAACCATGTTACAACAGAAATTTTTTTTCCGAAATGGAAGAAATTCAACACTGTTATTTATGGTGACTGGAATAACTTCATGTCAACAATGTTAATTACTGTATTCGCTTCGTTGGGGATTCCATGTCACAAAACGTGCGATGCCCAATAATTACAGTAAGTGTGATACTTTTCATTTCAAGGTCACTTGATTCGCCAAGCTTTAAAAAATTCCATTGAGCATCCAGGAATGTTTCACAATAGCCCCAATACGGGTCAATTCTGCTCTCATCATCGCATGAGAGACACATCTAAGGAAATTATACTGAGAAATCTTCGAAGCTGAGAACTTCGGCAATTACTAATTTCCCAAGCGACCTCGATTCACTGTTTTATTACTGCAACTAGATTTCACAAAAAAAAGATGTTTTCGGGGAAAACCCCTTCTTTTTCAAAGAAAAGAATTGTACTTACTTCTGGCTGCCTGCGCCGACGCCGACGTGTGTGGGAATCGAGCCACGACAGCAGCGAGAACGAAGCACCAGGGAAGTGTCGCCGACGCGGACTCCATTCTACTAATGGCTGTCGGTTTCAGGACCAGTAGAGACAACGACGGCGACGAAGACTGCGACACATAGCGCCCAAACTCACTGCGAACTCGCGACTCTCCACAACTCTGACGGGTACTCGGAACTGAACCTCCCTGTTTACTGGGTGTCGCAAAACGGAAGCTTCACACAAACGGGCTCAAGAAAATGAAGCATCTACGCCTAGTTTTTCTTTCCGTTCATCAAATGAAAATTTGCTGACGCAACGACAGGCATATTTTGGAAATGAGAAATAACCAAGAATAAAATGTAGATAAGCGAGTCTCAAACTCCAAGTGCAGTGCTGTACCTATAGTACAGTTTGTCAAACGATTAGTTCGACCAATTTGACGTTTATTTAAATATATATTTGTAAAATCTACAATACAAGCTGGATTGATTACCTTGCCACGTTTTCCGCTCATTATACTTCTGATAATTCATATTTCCATCAATCCTAAGTCTAATAGATTGCTTGGATCTTGAACCAGTGCTCGAAAAATAGTTTTGTGCCTGGTTTAAAAAAAAATATTTTTATCTCTGGAATTGGAAAACTCAAGAGTCAAGACACGCATTCGAAGAATAAATACAGTTTTAGAAGTCCCCAAATTTCAAGTAAAATCAGAAATTTCAAATAATTATTTCGACCGGTTTTAGATTTATTCCTTCGAATCCTCGCATATTCTTGAATTGTGTAATATTTATTGATTACTCAGCCAAAAAACCTTATCATCCAGGTTCCACTCCAGTCAGACTGCTTGCTGATTCTGGCACCAAAGATCAATGATATGAGATCAAAAAATATATAATATCTGACGGGGTTATTATTTATTTTTATCATTGAAATTTGATGATTTTAATCGAGATAACGCCTGCGGAAACAAGGCACTTTCCAGGAAAAACTAAAAATAAATTTATTCCAAATTGTTTTCCGCTTTTGGATTCATCTCTTCTGTTCTCATGATACAGTATTCAGCACAAAAAAAATTCAAGTGTCAACTGAATTTGATAAATTGAATTTACGCGCAGATCCTTTGAACATCAGTTTCATACTCAAATTCCTATGTTTACTGAATCTTGCTTGGTTTGATGACCTTATCAATGGGTCACAACAGCTGAAATTTGAATTAGTTGATACCTTTGTTATATGCCTCGAATGGCTAACTTGCATCAACAATTTACAGTGAAGAGGAGAAAGAAATAAACCAGAAGTAGGATGCCATACTTTCACAAATCACGGCGTAAGCAACAATCAATCTGGCAAGGATACAACCTGGTTATCGGGGCTATTAAACGAGTAATAACTTTGCCAAGATAATCAATACTAGAGGATGTAACCCAGAGTCGACTGAGATATTCTGTGATCATTGATTCATCAAATTCCTATTGTCATTTAGACACACCTGGTCAGCACTCAATTTTGATGAAGAACTCCTTAATGCAAAAATCCTTGCAGACTTGGAATAGGTGTTCTTTCAATCAAAGTTTCTGGAATGGAAGGACTATGTCTTTGTTCTGCTTGATGCAATCAGGCCTCGAACTGCTGTACTCAATTTAAATATCAGATTTTCATTGCAATTTATTTTCATCTGCGAGCTCTAATAGTAATCTCCTGAATAACTTATCAAATAATTCAATGCATTTTCGCAACCCTTAGCAAGTTCAAAGCGCATCAAAATCCCATCACCAAAATTGCATCGTCATTTTAGTTTGATAATATGAGACTTATTATCTAAAATTATTCTCTATATAGACACATTTTTGAATAAAACCGAATTCTCCTGCTCATTTTTTGGAATAAAATTGAATTCAACGAGACAGTTTTTGGAATAAAATGGGATACCCCTAGAAAATTGTAAAAATAAAATTGGATACTCAGAGACATTTTTCATTGGAATATAATTCTCGTAAATGTAAAAATTAGTAAAGATACCTCTAAATAATTTATGGAATAAAATGGAATACATCTAAACAATCTTCGAGTACAATAAGACCTCGTTACAGCGAATTTCGTTGAGTTAACGCTTTCAACGACATTTTTTCTTTCGGTCCCGGTCCAATAGCCACAATGTTACTTTAATTTCGTTTTAACGGATTTTCTTTTATAACGAAGCTGTTTGAAGGTACAAAATGATTCGTTATCACTTTTGCTGCTGTACTTTTAGACAATTTTTGGAATGAAATGGAATACTCCTCGATGATTCAGGAATAAAATTCAATACAACTTGTCATATTTTCGGAAGAACTGTACTTGTCTACATATGAGTTCACGTATGAAGCCGTACAGCAACAAAAATAAAAAATAATAAAAATCAAGGAAATTTGTTCGTCAGTAAGGCGATGGAAAATGTCATGACGACACCACAACCCAAGATTCGACGACCGGTCCTCCGAAGGGCCTCGTCACCAACACTGCCCCCATGTATACCTATATCTTACACGCGTCACGCATTCCACAACGCTGCCTAATTACACCAGAACATTGCATGCAGCTTCGCCCGAGAGGTTGGTGGAGAAAAAATAATAAGAATCTAGTTTATTTCTCCTCTGGAGGTAAATTAACTCCGGCAAAAAAAAAACTTCGGGCGATCGAACCGGAAATCGAGAAAATTGAGATATAATCTACTTCTCGGTGCCACTTATTACGAGAATACCGACGTTCTCTGCTGATCATTCATTACAACCACTTAATCTCATGCATGCGCGTATTTTTCTGGACGATCATGAAGACTTTCTACACATCCATTTTATTATCGTAAGTTAAAATATGTATCACAGCCGGGGTTTGGTTTCCAACTTTTATTCGAATTGGTATAAATCTGGTGTTCTGGACTCCATTTAATATTTTCTGGTACTCTTTTGCTATCATCAGTCGATTTTTACTTTAAAAAAGGCGGCTTTTTTCCTCAGCAATCTCTTTTTGAATTTATGGGAGAGAGAATACAATGTTATGGGATGAACAGATTAGCGATCCTGGAATATGTTGAAGAAACCTTGACGGATTAACGACTCACAAAAAGCCTGGGAACGCGACACCCGTCGGCAAGCATAACTTCGATGAACTATTCTCCTGAAAAACTCATTCAGTGAACACTTCGTCAGATAAAAAAATCCTTGCAGAAAATTTGAGGATTTCGATGCAAAATTCCGTTTTTAAATAGTTTATAATGCCCATGACGACTTCTTTTAATCGCCAAAATTATTGCCCACCTTTACACCTTTGATGGACTAAAGAAACATTTAGATGAAACTTGGTCGAATGCGTTTATTTCAATAGATATTTTTGATGCACAATACAATATGTTTCACTAAATTCAACAGAAGCCCTATACATTTCGAAGTACAGTAATGTAAACAGCAAGTCCGAATACTATTTAAAATAGCGAACGAATCTTCGACTGTTGAATATATTTGACCGAAATAGACAAAAATATCACAACGCAATCAATGGGCTCTCAATTGCTGTCCAGTTTAATGATTTTATAGCTGTATTTTTTATGGGTGTCACGCGGTTTCGAAAAAGTAGTGCAGTATTGGAGAGAAAGTTGTAATTTGTTTCCATAACAGGGTTCAGGAGGGTTTGTGTAAAGTTTTTGTGCTTCATTAGTTTGGTTATGCAAACATCTTCAAAGAGTTCGTTTTCAGTCGGACAGGCCAAAATTTTCCGGGTTTCTTGCTTCCTTTTATTTACAAAGTATTCCTTATTTGACTTTTTAAGAGAAAGATAAAAGGGAAACCCCAGATTATGGAGATAAGACATAATTCTAACTCTCTTAGCTCTGCGTTTTTTACAGAAAATTGATATAGAATAATGATAAATGAATGATTCAGCATGGGAATCCTGCGTTATGTGATATGCAATTACTGTATACACGGGGTACCTCGCAACCTCCCACAATTCGACCATCCTGCAATTTTATAGTCAAATTTGCACAGAGGTTGACTTGCAATTAGACCCTTGTCCCACAATTTGACCTGCTTTGATTATTTTTTTGCGCTTTTTACTGATATTTTTGAATATTACAAAGTGTCTTGCAATTCGATCACTTCGCAATTTGACCCTACTATGACTTCAGATTAAGGTCGAATTGCAAGGTACCACCTGTATTGATAGAGAAAAAGGTTATCCCCCAAAAAATTCATTTCTTGTATTTTTTCGTGAACTCAAATCCATGCTGAGCATGAACAGATTTTATGTCTACAAGATTCAGTCCCATCTATCAAACGCAGACAAAAAAATATTGCATCCAATTGTTCGAGACCACATATACAGGAAAATAATATTGAAGAAGATGCGCACATTAATGCAATTAATAAGGTAATGCCTTTCAAATGAATATGGTGATGGAGTTCGCTAGAAAATTTAATTCAATGCAGGAAATTAGGCTTCACAGAGCCCTGAAGGCTTAGTCGACAGTTACGTCTCGAGAATACAGGTCCATTGTGGGCGAGTTGTTCAAGAAGGACACCTTTTCACGGCATGTCGGGATAGACTAAAATGGAGGGTCTCGTGACGACGCTCGTTTCTCTCCTCCTACTCCTTTTATATTTTTATTTTTTTGTATTCCCGTTCCCCTTTTGACGGGGAAAAGGAAGTACTGAACTGAGGAATGCAGCGACAGCGACAACGTCGACGAGAAGAAACACACACTGCTGGATGGTATAAAAGTAGAGTATAAATGGCGAGTCGGCCGCTGCTGCTGCCGGATCGGGCGGCCGAGCAACTGATCTCAGCTCTTGCTCCTTCGTCATCCGAGTCTCTGTCGATCGCCGGCCGCCTCGTCGTCGTTGTCCCCCGTCGACGACGAGGGGACAGCATGTCTTGGCTGACACAATCGACAATCTCGGCCTCTTGTCCTTTCCTCTATCTCCCCCTCTTCTTCTTCTTCTTCATCTTATTTCTCTTTAGCTCTCGGCACTATTTTGTATTTATTGCTTTATTCATTTGTTCCACTACACGGACTCTTTTATTTTTTGTATATCAGTAGACTGCCGAACGAGGAGTTCATACTCTCGGAATACTTTTGGAGAAACGAAATCGGGTTATGATGCATTTTTTAAACTTTTGTGAGTACGTGTTTTTTGCTTTAAATAGGCCATCAACTGGTTGAAGTACATGTTTCACAATTTATGTCTCATAATTTCCTGTGTCTTACATGATTATATTTTTCTGTGCCTTTTCTTTTCTTATTTGCCTCATTTTTCATACTTCCTTATATGTTTTATGTCGTTTTATTTCTCTTATATATTTCTTGTGTCTCATTTTTCCCTGTCTCGTATTTCATAATATTATGTTTTCCATGAGGTATGAATATTTATTTATTTATTTACTTGTGAATCACGGTTTCTTCAATTTACTGTGTTTTAAAGTTACTTGTTTCGTAATGCCATATTTTTATTTTATTTCAAGATAAAATTTTTCTTATGGTTTGAGCTTTTTCATGACTTCCGCTTTGTCCAGACGGATTTTTCACTTTATAGTACTGCAGGACATACTTTGGAGTTTTGAATGTCACGATTTTTAAAGGCTTAGATTTTTGTTTAACGCAATTTATTTTGTGCTTGGTAGTTTAACGTAGACTTTTTGGGCTGAGACTTTGGCATTATTTGTTAAGTTTAACAAAGTATTCTTTGTTTTCGTTGCATTCATTTTTCAAGTTGAACTCATTGGTCGAAAAAGTTTCCGATTTTGTTTAACCTGTTATGAAGTTATGGGTCCATTTTGTAAAAGAATATTAGCCCGTCAAACAAACTCGGCAACAAACAATGGAGTGGAAGATTGGTTTGTTTTTTGCCTGCTTTCGATGGCACCGAAAGTTTTTCACTTCGAATCTTTCTTTCATCCTGTGTCACTCTCATTTTGTTCTGAGAAAAATGAAGTTGGAATATCGCCTAGTATCCAAATAAAGCCGTGCTGGTGGGATGAAGTTGTCTTCAAATTGTGGAAATACCCGCGTAAGACAAAGGAGGATTTGTTGACGCTGTCGAGAATATTTTCGGAATCCGTGATTCTTCCAATTTTTCTTGCCCGGATACGGAGTGAGATCTCAAGCCGAGGTGCTGGCATGTCCGTGCTGCCCACACACCAGCAGACGCTGCCAGCAAAGGAAGGTAAAACGTTGACGACGTGAGAGAATAATCGACGTTTCCGCGAGATTGTGTCGCATGTTTCTTCAGAGAATCGTCGGGGAAGGGGAAGAGGAATGCGAAGGAATAATAGACGCGATACGATTTCCATGTTCCTCATCGCTGGACAATGATCCAGACCAGAGAAGCCGGTCGGTTCTGGACGCCTTGTGCGCTTTTACGGGACGGTCGTGTTATTTAACTGGAACTAGTTTAGATATATGTCAACTCGGCAAGCAAATTAACGACGTCCTAACTTCTCCTCCTTTTTTTATCCTGTTATATGAAATGTATCCATACATGACATTGACACTAACTAAAATTTGATAAAAACTTTTTAAAACTTCGAAGAAGCCACTTTGAGATATTTTCCAAGCTCGGGCAAGTATCTTATTTTGATCGGTATGAGAGCCTTCTTTAGACTTCTGGATTGTCTGAAGAAGTACAGTCTTAGCATCACATGAAAGGGCTTTTTATGTTGAAAAATAAAGATTCAAAGATGCATCGAGATTTTTCTTTTATCAATTCACAAGAAGAAGTCACAAATATTTGAATTTCACCCTGGCCTGAACGACACAAATTTGTTTAATTCATGAATACCGGATAAAAGACCAGCGGATCTAAAATTGGTCCATCGTTAATTCGATTGAAAATTAAGCCTCTATGCTAAAAGCTGGTAGATAAATATTCAAGAAGTATAAGCAGAGAACCCTAAAAGAAAATGCCAAAAACCGTATCATCTACTGGAATTTACAATATTCTAGCGGCTAGAATATTGTAAATCCCAGTAGATGATACTACTATATTGGGCTAGAATCAGGTATAGAATCAGGCAGATATAGGGCTAGAATCTAGTCCTATACCTGCCTGAAATAAAACCGTTGATAGCCATTCAGAAGGAGATACTGAATATTCAAGCAAGATTTCCAAAAACCCTACGAGAAACTTGAAATATTTCTAAATTAACCTTTTCTTGGGGGTCAGAGAAGTCCAAGCTAAGTTGGATTAAATCAACTTTCTCATTTTTCCGAGTTCGCCATTGTCGAGCCTGATGAATATACAGTTGAGCCGTTCGTTTAATTGCTGCAGGATTGAAGAGGAGGAAAAAAATAGGACAATATACTTTACATAGGTATGTACTGTAACTGTGATTGATTTTAAACTATTTTTGAAAAATTTTGACCGAAGAAGCCACTTTGAGATATTTTCTAAGCTCGGGGAAGTATCTTATTTTGATCGGTATGAGAGCCTTCTTTAGACATCTGGATTGTCTGAAGAAGTACAGTCTTAGCATCACATGAAAGGGCTTTTTATGTTGAAAAATAAAGATTCAAAGATGCATCGAGATTTTTCTTTTATCAATTCACAATAAGAAGTCACGAATATTTAAATTTCACGCTGGCCTGAACGACACAAATTTTTTTAATAAATGAATACCGGATAAAAGACCAGCGGATCTAAAAAAAATGGTCCATATAGTTAATTCGATTGAAAATTAGGCCTCTATATGCTAAAAAAAACTGGTAGATAAATATTAAAAAAGTATAAGCAGAGAACCCTAGAAGAAAATACCAAATACAGTACCATCTACTGGAATTTGCAAATATTCCAGCCCTATACCAGCCTGAAATAAAACCGTGGATAGCCATTCAGAAGGAGATACTGAATATTCAAGCAAGATTTGCAAAAACCCTACGAGAAACTTGAAATATTTCTAAATTAACCTTTTCTTGGGGGTCAGAGAAGTCCAAGCTAAGTTGGATTAAATCAACTTTCTCATTTTTCCGAGTTCGCCATTGTCGAGCCTGATGGAAGGATAAATAAAAGTTTCTTGCAACGTTCTTGATCATAATTCCTCCATACAAGTAAAGTATTACAATTTAATAAGGCATTTTGTCTGCAGGAATCTTGATATTAATTCCAAGTAATTCTTAGATTCGATGCACTAATTTCAAATCATCTTGTCTTGGAAAACAGTGTATGAGCAATTTCTTCGTAAAACCTGTTTAACTTCATATACGAGTATTAAAGCTTTCTACTAAACCCTGTCTCATTCTAAAATATTTGAGCCGCCGTCAAAATATTCTCTTGTTGATATCATTTAATATCAATTGATGGTAAATCGTTTCCATATTTTCACGATTCCGAAAGATTTTTAATGCAGTGCATCCCAAACTTCAAACGCGGTTTTTTCTGCTGACGAGAAATGTATACAGTTTTTTTTTCACGAAATACGTGCAGTTTTTCTTCACAAATAAGATCTTAAAGTCATGATATTAGCGCCCTCATATTTGGAAATTTCATAGAAAATGCTTTCAGTTTTATTCATGGTAACATTATCTGGTACCTTTGATGCCACGTGTTGATGAGACTAGTTTTCTTCATGAGGCTCTGTTAGAGACGCTGATGTTTTTTGTCCAGTCAGAATGTAGCAATTCTCCGAACTTGACATTTTCAGTCCGCGATTGCGCCATTATAAACTTGCTCAATATTAATTATTTATTTCATATGGACATGCGTACCCTTCCTGTGATTTTCAGTTCATGTTTATGAAAATATACGACAGAGGCACCAATGCTCATCTTCCCATGCTCACGATTTCCCATAATAGCATCGATAAGGACCCTTACTTCAACAATTGAGGATAATTTTTTGTCATGAATAATAGTTCACAATAACTCAAATATAAACTTCAAGCTTTTTTTAACGATTCACCCAGTCACCCCTTTATTTCGTATGATTTTCAGTCCATGATACGGACATTCAGGGCGGAGCTGTCGATGTTTTACAAACTGTAAAATGTTCTCAACTTCTTTCACGGTAACATCATTTGGTACCCTTACACCTCGGGTTGACTGGACCAGTGGCCTGCAATACTTTGGTACACAGACCACCGCTGGCCCACCGAGATTTTTCTGGTGTTCCACATGAAATTTTTGTCAGCACAATGCATTTAAAAAAAAGCAGTAATCAAGTCTGTTTCCTTTATCTGGAATTTTGGAAAGACAATGGCAGTAGAAATTATCTGATGAAAGTTGGCTTTTCTCCTCATTTAGCACTTCAAACAAATTTATACCTGCTGAAATAAATTACAGTATTTCAGGTTATCATTCTGAGAAAACTTTCTTGAAGCCCAGCTTTCTAATTTCCAAAGACATTTGTGTACAGCTGCTTTTTTGTTGTTCTCAACTCAATTTTTGCAATAAAATTTTTGTTTGGAGGATTTATTTATAGTTCCATGTGGGTATTTACCCAAATTTTAGAGTTTCTTTACTTCTTAACTCTCAACAACGAATGTCCGCAAAAAAAAATTTTGCCGGTCTGTAAGAAATTTTTTGCAGCATAATAGATTTACCAAAAGTAGCAAGGAAGTCTGTTATCTTTGTCTGAGAGACAATATGGCAGTTGAAATTATCTGATGAAAAGTAAAAGTTGGCTTTTCTCCTGATTATTTCCGAGACAAATTGTCATCTGCTAAAGCAAATTATTCTTTTTTTTTTTTACTCTGACAACCCTTTCTTCATGCCCACCTTTCTAATTTTTTGAAGACATTCCATTATAGCTGCTTTATTGGTTCTTAACTCGATTTTTTTTTTCAAAAGAGCAGAAACTTCTTAAATGTCTTTCATATAAAGTCTTTCAAGCAAAACTTTTTCAAAGTTTGTACAAATTTTGTGAAAATTTGTCAGTCTGCAGAAAGTTTTTTGGACATTCGGCAAATAAGTTCCGCAAGGGGTTGGGGAAAACTGTAATTGACCATTTCTGCCGAGCTCTTTTTTCTTCTGAGGTATATATAGTGACGCCGTTGTTGCTCTTTGTCCAGCCAGAACGAAACTCTGGCCTGCTGTCCCCGCACAGGACAGCAGCAAACCGCAGGTGGAAAAAGGCGAAGCGATGAATAATTTATTGACGCAAGCCGGGACCGGTTTCCATTCTGGGCGAGGTGATGCAGACTATCAAGTGTCCCGATCTCCAGCAGAGACGCCGCTGTGGCCCGAGTTCTCCCGGTTCTCGCCTGGCTGCAAATTTTCTCCTCAGACGATCATCTCTTTCTCTCTGTGTCTCTCTTTCTCTCTATGCCTCTCTCTCTCTCTCTCTCTCTAGTCGTCCTCTATATAGTGACTTGCTCAGTAATGACCAGAGTGATTGAATGAATGGAAACAGTTGTAAATCTGGTCTCCGGATGTCGTAAAGCAGTCCGAGGCTATATAGGAAATAAAGCCTCAGCGCCCGCAGCACTCGTCATTTGTCTCTTCCCAGCAAGGAGCCGATGACGAGAATGAAGCTTCTTATTTATCCTCAGCATCCGCTTTTCCCTGTCCGCAAAACAATAACTCATTCATCAAGAATCACAATAACGGCCATGCGAGATGAGCTGTGAATCGAATTCTCAACCCTTTGTTTCCCCCTGCACAGAAACAAAAAAAAAGTGTCCAATTCAATCAAGAACTTTGCGTATTTTTTTCCGAAACTTGAACCAAACTTATTATGTGTAATTATCTTCCGAGATGATCAGGTTTGGTGACGTGGTGACACCAGCAGCATCAGCAGCAAGATATTTTAAGAGGTTCAAACGACATCATCGCTTTATATATAGCCGAAAAAGGAATGATATGGATCCTTCAAGTGAAGGACGAGTCATGGACTGTGAGTTTCCAAAGGGACTGTGAGTACTAGATTTATGTCTTTCATGGATTGGAATTGACACCATGAATAGCTGATGAGCGTTATACGCGTGATAAAATGCTCTTGGCGTGGAACGGAATTTGCATAAACTTGATCGATTATGCCATTACTTTTGGGACACAGGAAGCTTCGACGGTTTGACGTTTCAATCGATAAAAAACCGCATGGTTAGGTTTTAGAATATGTTTTTCAAGTTTTTTGCCGTTTTAGACACATTTTGTGTCAGTTTTGAGGAGGAACGAACCGTTTGAATTGCGTTTCTCACACAAATTAAACGTCCCGTCAATTATACTTTTTGACAAAAGCCACTTTGGCTCATGAGCAAGAAAGGTTTCATATAAAGGTAGACTCTCCACACAATTATCATTTTTATTACGATTTTCTGAGTTAGACGCTTTTTCGGTTCCGTGGTCGTTACCCATAATAAAGGGCCGGGTTCTCTATAATAATTTTTTTCTGGTCCGTAAATTTTTCCGCAGAGTCCACCTGTATTTAATAATTTACCGAGAGTGACGAAAATCTGGAGCTCGATTGTGAACTTGTGGAATCAGATAAAATGTTAATGCCGAAGACAATAATCTGAGCTCTCCCAGAAATTTAAATACAGATTTTCTATCGCAAAGATGCGTGATTTTTCTTCGAAATATGAGAAAAATCCTTCTGGAAGTGTGAGTATGTGTATTTTCAATATTTCAGAAGGGTCAGAATTAATTCACAGATTCAATTCCTCACCTGCCATGATACAATTATGGAACCTCGCTGAATTCATCTGCTAGTGATTCTTCGTGAGAATAGTTTTGCTGGGGGATAAACATTGCATAACGTTGTGCCAGAAAATTTTCTACTGGGTGTATATTTCTTAGAAACACAAATAAGGAATGTAATGTAATAAAAGCCTCATCCATAGTGTATAGCATTTGTAAAAATCGTTCCAGTTGCAGAAAAAGCGCATTCTAAAGTCACTGATTGAAAAGACCAGTTGATGGAGAACAATGTTTATTCTTTCTGGCCCGTAAAGTCCAATCAGTCGATCCTCCCCATCCTGATGACTAACATTTAATAATAATAATAATAATAATAATTACAAGCGTACTCTTATTCGAGTCCACCCCGAGAAGAAAAATAAAAGGCAAAGGGTTCTTCCGACAGGGTTATTAGCAGGGAATTGGATCGAGAGTTCGGCTTCAGTGATGGTGATGATGATGCTCGTCATCATCATCATCTTTGCTGTTGGCGTGATCGTGATGATCGTGATGAGAATGGCCGTGACCGTGGTTGTTGGGTTCGTCGGTTGGCTTCTGTCCGGGCAACAGGCGCTTCACCATGGCTGCGTGTTCTTTGCCGAGAATCCCGACCAGCTCTTCTTCTGTTCCCCGTACCATGAATTCATGTTTGTACGCTATATGTATGGAGAATGAATTATCAACTGTTGGGAGAAAAATTCATGATTTCTTTCAAACCCTAATTTCCCTGTATTTAGAAGAACAAAACAGTACCTGTTGTGCCGCTCGAAAATAGGACCCCATATGATGGGATTGTTGGCGATAAACACTTAATAAAACAATATCCAGGTGACATGCGGAATATATGAGCCCCACCCACGCAGTAAGCTCGAATTACTTCCCAGATATTTGAATGATGGTGAGAAACAGCATTTTATCAACCCTTGGAGCAAATTTAACAGCCAAAAACCAAGTAATTCATATACGTGTTGACTCCCGATCTACGACGATCTTGTCTGCATAACAATATTCTCTGTACGACTACTTCTTTTTTAGCACCATAGGATTCTCTTGTCATATTTTAGAGGTTATCTATTACGAAATTTTCTCAAGGACGAATTTTTTCAGTTTTTTTTTGCGTTTCGATGTAGAGATAGTCCTCGCTGAATTCATCTGCGCTAGTGATTCTTCGTGAGATTAGTTTTGCTGGGGGTAAATATTGCATAACGTTGTGCCAGAAATTTTGCTAAAGGGTGAATGCTTCTTAGAAACACAAATAGGGAAGGTACTGTAATAAAAGCCTCATCAATACTGTATAGCATTTGTAAAAATCGTTCGAAATCTGCCAATATACCGCTATTACTGATCAGGGTTGACGTTTGAGGCTTCAAGCTTGTAAAAATTTAATTTCCGATGGCCAGACAGGAACAGATTATTAAGGCAAAAATTCAAATTTCGCGAATAATGATCTGTATTGATTTTATTATAATTTTGTTTTTGCACATCCCGATTTGGATTATCCTTCGATTTTGTTAAAATATTTTGTCGAAACTGACGTTTCTGATGGAGATATTGAAGTGAATTTGCTACAAGATCAGATTTTAGAACTCCTGGTCTAACATAACTTGATCACTTCATGAAATTCAATGCATAACTTCTCTGCTATTTTCAGTTTTAGCATCACTGTGACGATCACATGCATATTGTAAAATCAACTAATGTGCTTATTTTATTGCATCCCTTGTACTGTGGGTCTTTAATGATAATAAAAAAAATTATGAAGCGATTCTGAGGCAGTACTTATCGTTTCGCAACAGTTGAGTGCCTAAACCGTCCAACGCAGAAAATACATGCAAAAGACCACCCTCACATCGTCACGATATCGCGCATTCTTTGGCAAGACAAGTGAACCTTTTTCATGAAGCTGCAATCAGAAAGCATTCCATGATGAGAAATCGATTTCCATGACGGGTTTTAGCCAAAAAAAAACTATGTCTAACGTGAAAGAACACTAACGAAAAGGAGCATGTACTGGTATTTAGGTTGAAATTCTATTTCCAATTTTTTTCATGGAAACTGTAAATGCCACCTTGCTGCCTAAAATACTCAGAGTTGGTCTAATTTTCAGTCATAACTAAGCTTGTTTTTTATAAATTCCTTAGCTTTTGACTATTTTGATCGGTATTCTGTATATTAATCGAACAGTATATGCCCTGTTTGAAGCGTTAAGTAAAATTTGAATAAAAATTAGAGACAGCGAATGACTGAAAATACTTAATTAATTTTTCAAAATACTGTATTCCAGCAGGTAATCAAAGTTTACATCGTAATTCAGCTGAACAAATGATGCTGAAGACCTCGAGACTGCATTGAAAATTACGTTGCACATTCAAACCTAACTTGGCACCTCATAAAATATCACACTACAGTACAATGGGTTCTCAGCTTATGAACTTGATTGGTTCCTGAACAAAGTTTTTTAGCTGAATATAGTTTGTAAGCCAGATCACATTTTCCTTAAGAAAATTTAGGAATAATTTCAATTGCTTCCAGAACCTTGAAAACGCCCATGAAATTCAAGAAAATGCATCCTAAAAAACTATTTTCAGGCCTAAAATCCATTACATCTTCTTGAGAAAATATAAGAGGAACTCGCTTCTGTAAAACAATCCATAGAAAGGAACTTTTGAAGTGAGTTTCTCCAAAGGTTTCTTCTTGAAAATTTTAAATGCAACACCACAAACTTATTCACAGACCAAGGACTTAGGATGGAAAATGTTAATTCTAAAAAGCTGTTGAATTTTAACTCCTTTAGAATGAATAAAAAATTGGTGATCAAGAATCGGTCAATAAACTTTTGAGACATTCTTAGATGAATTAATGAATAAGTTTAAGCATGAATCTCTATATTTTGCTGAAGAATTATTTTTTTGAATTGTGGGCATTTGGAAAGCTCAAATTTTGTAAGCTGAGTCCTAGTTTGTTAGCCGATGCACTTGAGGCCAAAAATAACAGTTTCTTACAGCTGAAAAGTTTGTAAACCAGCAGTGCATTTTTAAGCCGAGACCCGACTGTACCTTTTTTTATCATTTGAATGTACTTTAATGTGATTTACCTGGAATCAAAACGTTGTAGAAAAATCCGTAGCCTCCATTGACTCCGTTGTCCTCGAGTTCAACTGCTAACCAAGTGTTGGGCTCAAAGATAGCGACAAACGTGGCATGCGAGTCATAAATTTCATCCCCGAGGAGAACTTCGTAATGCGTGCCATTCGGCGAAATTGCATGTACCTGAGAATGCAAAAATAATCGACAGTCAACCAAAATAAGAAGAAAAAAACGAACAAAAGAATCAATTATTCACCAGTTTTGTCTAATGTTAATTTAAAACGGAGTGGAGAATTACTTCAAGTTTTGCTATTGAGACCAATGTCAGAGGAATTCTGAATGAGAAAATTTGGTGTACTCAAAGAACATCATTTAAAATGAGGGACACACTCAATTTTTTGAATTTTTTTAATTCTTCTTCTCTGCCTGTGCATTGCTGATCATATAGTGACTCACCAGCAAGTTCCCACCCTTTAGCCAAATGCCCATGAGCTCTGACTGCAGCATTTTGAACCAAGGAAGAACAACATTGCGCTCAATGATGTAGTAATTGGCTGAATATAGGCTCCGTTCCCAGTTCACCACTGATGGTGAGCTTGTTGTTACCTGCATTGATTCGAAACCAATCAATCGACCATAAAGGAAGCGTCAAAAATCAAAGCAAAAACACTTTTTCCTCGTATTTTTCAACACACCACATTCCAAGCAAAATTTTATTTCGACTAATGAACTGCAAAAAGAAAATATCCATGCACATGCGGAAACGTCCTTCGGGCCAAATTAAAAATTGCCAAGAAAATGCACGAGTTGTGAAAATGCGAGTTTTCCTTAATTTCCTCTCGTACGTGTAAAAGACTTTCCTAAATTGGTGTTCTGTCGACAACTTCCAAATTTTTATTTTTAAATGCAAAATACAAAATCGGTGATGTATATACTAGTTAGAATAATGTCTTCCCCGAAAAAGGAAATAAATGATTACATGTTTCTTCCACTTTTCATTTTTTGTGTGAATTAAAGAGGAACAATTGCTTCCAAAAATTAGGAATATGAGTTCCAAAAAAATCAAAATGAAAGTTTGAACTCAATCAAAGTGAAGTTTGTGTTATTAAAAAAAACCTTTTGAACACGAATGTGCACTCGGAAAATCTGACGGATGGAGATTTTGACTTTTAATTTCTTATGCTATACTCTCACGTATTGAACAGATATAAAATTTATGTTATTGCGCTGAACAATTACTGTATACTCTAAATGCTTGGCAATTTAAGCCGTTCCTCAAATCCTCACTTATATTGCTGTTGAATTTTCTATTCAGTCCTATTCAATTTTCCTCGTCATCCGTCTGACAAAAATCTCTGCGAATATGTAAAAATAGAGCCTGCTGACAGTCAGCTATATAATGAATAGGTCTTGAAGATAATATGACGTTCGGAAATACAGCATACGTTTGTAATCAACTCACATTTGATACAGTGTAAGTTTTCCCGGCCTTAAACTGCTCATTCTCGTGCTTTGGCGACATCTCGTGCTTCTCAATCAAAGCATCAGCCTGGCCGAGTTGCGGGCCGCACACGGTGGCTTCCAAGGATTCCCAACGACCCACGATGTTGTGCAATGTGTCGTGTATCTCGTGGAACTCGTGATGATGATGGTGGTGATGATGATTGTGGTGATCAGTTTCATTCTCCTCCGATTTTCCGTCGTCTATCTCCAGTTGGTTGCCTTCTCCTTGTTTTTTATGATGATGGTGATGGTGATGCCCATGGTCCGCGTCATCTTTTTCTGTTCCTGCGTATATATGTACAGAAAAATACTTCAAAATAGATTTTAGACCTCTATTGACACTAGGACAACAAACCGAGAAGTTATTCTTATTTTGAGGATCAATAATCCTCGTAAAAAAGTATTTTTCGCTTTTCTATCCTCCATAATACGTCCTATACTTGTCTTCTCTTTGAATATAACTCCTTGAAGACAACCTTCATCCGGTTGATTATTGTGTTTCTCAGAATTTTGAATACGTGCGATACATGTGCAATAATAATGTTCAGTGATGACCGGGAACAATATATGCATCACTGATGTTCTGTGAACATTAAAAATACTTAGAACAGCATCGGATCTCTTCATTACATAAAGAGTTTAAGTTTCGGTACGCAACATAATTTTTTATTTTCAACTAATGTAAATTCTAGAACAGTTATTCGAAGTACTGTACGAGTAATTGGATGCCTAATTTATTATTTAAAAATTGTAAACGAGATTCACCATGAAATTCATTCGATTTGAGAGCGATGATATCAATCAACACAAACCCCGATGCACATTTCAGGAGATGAAGGTTCTAACTTCAGATTCGTATAAAAATGAATCAGCAAATAGAAAGTTGTGGAAGACTTCTGGAGAAATTCGATTTAATAATCAATTTAACCGGCTTTTTCTACAATTTACCCCACATGATTCAATAAATAAGCTTACCATGATGGTCATGCACGTGTGCTGCAAGACCAAGCGTGAAGCACGCAAAAATTACAAATGCACCGACACGCGCGTTCATTATTATTAATCTTAAAAAAAAAAAAAAGACTTCAGAAATCAAGTGCTTATAGTTCAAAACAATGTTCCCCAACCCGTGGTCCGCGGATCGGCGCCGGTCCGCAGAAGTTTTTTGCCGGTCCGCGGGAAATTTCTCCAGGCTTATAAATTTTTCAAAAGTAGCAATTAAGGACTTAACAGTATCTTCATCTTAAACTTTGGCAAGACAATGGAAGTTAAGATTATCTTACGAAAACTATATCTTGGCGTTTCTTCTATAATACTTTTGACAAATGTTTGCCTGATTTAATAAATTATTTGAATTTCTGAGTTTGAAAAACCTTTCTTCAAACCCACATTTCCATTTTTTGAAGACATCCTACTATAACTACTTTGTTGGTTCTTGACTCAAATTTTTCAACGCAAAAACCAGAAGTTTTTCAAATACCTTCGATTCAAGCTGTTTTTAAACCAAAACATTTTTGAGCATGCAAACATTTTATGAAAATTTGCAGGTCCCCTCAGAAAATTTCATGAAACTTTGCCAGTCCGCAGAAAATTGTTTGGAAATCTGCCGGTCCGAAAAAATTTCATGAAAATGTTCAGGTCCGCAAGACCAGAAAGGTTGGGGAACACTGGTTTAAAACACCGACAGTCAAAGCAAGGATTCTCAAAATTTGAATGAAGCACTTCTTCTACGTCTCTATACCACTCCGAGTCTTGAGTGACAGTGAGCTCAAACCCTCAAAGGCCTCGGCGTTTTATGCTCCTTCTGGATGAACAAATCATTAGAAAATGATTTTGAAAAAAAAAACCGAAGAAATGATAATTACGACGTGTCAAAAATATGGAATCGTCTTCTGTGAGACACCAGGCTCATCTGGCTAGCTTCTGTCACCAAGCCGAGTATCAACATGAAGAAGCATGGAACTTTTGACCTTTTCTTTTTGCTGGGCTGCAGTGATGACGCAGGAATCCCTGAGACTCGTCTTCTGAAAGGGCCTGTTGTCATCGTCAACAGCGTGAGTGATGGTTAACTAGTATTTTTTTAAACTTAACTTAATTCTGTAATATGAAAATAAAAGGCCTGTGGGTGCACTCTCATAATTCATGCCGAGTTGGGCAAATGCGGGAGGCCTTTCAAGCACTATAAGAAGGCGAGAAAACAGCCCATGTACAGGGTTTGCCGAACGAATTTGAAAATTTTTGAATGTCTATAAATATACGGGTACTAATTTCAGAGCCATCGGCATAAAAAAATTTATAAAACAATTTCACTCATTTCTCTGCGTGGAAATGTAGATTGATCGTATTCCAGCTACAGAATCAGTTCATAAGTGTTACAGACGAGGCACTTAAGCTCAATTATTTTTCAGAAATTATAAAGTAATAGTGGATCAATGGCCTTTCCCCCACGTTGCTCACTGATGAAAGTTATCTGGTTGCATAATTGCTCATCATTAACGTTGATCTTACACTCCATTTATAAAAAACAGATTTTAGCAAACAAAATAAGCTCCTTGTGGTAAAGTTTTTGAAATGTTTACGCTGAGTTGTTTACTATTTGAGGAGGTACAATGATTAATATAAACTAAAATCTCATTACAACAAACTTCCGGGGAGATGATAAAAATTCTTCATAACAAAAACTTTGCTATAATGAGATTCGTGGCAATGGAATTCTACGGTATTATATTGGATTGAATATATTTGCTGAATAATGAAATGACGATTGAAGTGTTACAGTTGGACCTATGTTAATCAAACTTTTCAAAAAAATTAAACTTGGAGAGTTTTAGCTAGGAATACTAGTGTTTTGGAACAGATGTTGAAACAATATTACAGCAGTGCACAAAGGTTAAATATTGGCGGTCTTTCAGACCTCAATGACTGCCCGATACATGAGTTGACAAGACGCTGAACTTCAAAAAAAAGGGTGTATTTGTCCAATTAGTCATTCGCCTCCATTTTTGAAATATTTACATTACATTCTTACATTACATTAGATTCTTCATTTCTTCCATGTTCTTAGTCCCGGCTAAAGAAATTCAAGGTACACAGAAAGTTTTGAGGGGGTGGAAAGCCTTTCAGTTACAGAGATTTAGATTGCAGTATTCCTTTAGTAATTCCAGTCACAAGCTAAATTTGACATATGGAGGTTTTTTTTTATTTGGGAAGGTACAATAAGTTAGCGAGGTCCAACTGCGAGAGTGTTTTGCTTTCATGCGAGATATGCGCCATACATTTTTAGTTTTTTTTATTCTCGTGCGTTAGTCGTGATTTATTCATCAATTATATCAATCAAATGATATACTGTTATTTACCTGTGCATGGTCGATTTCGTTTGAACCAAAAAATATAATCTCTTTTTAAGCATTAAAGAAATATGTAGAAGACATTGTCCCGTTTTTCTTTTTAAAGACATCCCTCTTCTATAGTTCAACAATTTTTAGAATCGCGAAAGATAAAGTCTGGTAAATTTTCATTAGGAAAGAGGCTGAAATCTCATTAAAATCCGGAATCTAAAATACGTTTGAAGGCAATGACGACCATTATATGTGTAGCTCATCATATCAGGTAGCTGTGTTCAACGTATTTTATCGTTGCTATCGTATTATATTTCATGAGTATATTTTAAGCTTTCAAGACTGACAGTAATTGATTCCCATAATGCGGGTTATTGCACTGGGAAAGCATCTGTTTCGTGTTCTCGTCGTAAAACGAAAAGTACAGTACTGAGGGTCTGGTGCAGGGTTCAAACGGATGAAGTACTGATGTACTTCTGGCTCCCAGATGAACACCAGCAAATCCATGATGAGGGTTGGAGGCAATAAATTTCCAGCTGAGATTCGTTTTCACGTGTTTGTGCTCTCATGTGGAGTCAAGAAAGATTCTCCACGCAGCATAAGGAAAAGGGCTAGTATACGCAGTTTTCAAGTCAACAAACGCAAAATTTGATCCATCGCTTTCCAAGGCCACTTCTTAGCAAAATACAGTAACTGATTTATCGCTTTATGACCGTGTTCTGCGGCCAATTTTTGCTGCAAACCAAATTTTTATGAGTAAAATAGTAATCAGAGTACAGTATTACTAAAAAATAATTAAAAGCAGCTTTAAGGTTATACTCAGCCTTTTTTTGGTCAGAGAGAAACGCACTGAATCAACGCATAAAATTCTGAGTGGTAATTGAAATTGATTAAAATTCAGAAAACATTTTCTTATCATATATTTCGCCCTTCTTTAGTTTTTGTATACTGCATCTTCTGGAGAATTTGAAATAAACCAAGCGAGGCTCTTAATACTGTACCTGCATCAGTGTTCCTGGGTTTCTCCCAAAAAATCTAGACTAATGTTATTGCGGAAGATTTCCTAACATGTGCAGCAAATTCAAGGCACATAATTTCCTGCTGAAATTCACATTTTGCACTCCTCATGGTAGAAATGTTTTTGGGACCCGAATGCTGGACAGGTTCTTCGACGCAGACGGTTTTAAAATAAGTAATGACGACACAATTTTTCAAAGACAATGTTATTTCAATGTTATCCGACTTATCCCATTACAAACGTAACTTCACTTTACAACAGCAGAGTAATTTTTCGTAATTCTTACAAATGTAATTCAAGAGTCTTAACGCTTTATTCGTAATTTGCTTGTACTGTACTGCTTATGAACAAAGCCATTCCCTGAACTCGTACCATCTCAAATTATTTCGGGATATCCATGATATCCTGCGTTCGTGGCGAAACAAAACAAAATTCCCAATTCTTCCGCACATGAAAAGAATAATTTAACGGCAAGTGAGGCCACATCCTCGAGTAGTCGCAAGACACAATGCAAATCTGTATATTATTATTACCCCTAGATGTCACTCTTAATCAAATGTAAAATTCGGATACGCGTAGGTTGAAAGGGTTGAATTAAAACCTGGTTTTTCGTTATCAATCCTAAACGGGAGGAAAACGCATACGGTAGTATTTAAAATGTTGATGAGCAAAAGATGAAACTAATCGATTCTCTCAGACGGAATTCTCATTCGAAAATTTCAAAACCACACAATAGTAAGCCTATTTCATGATTTTAGATTTTCATTCACTTTTCAAAAGTTTTAATCTGAAATGAAGCGTCGAGAAACGTATAGAATCTGTCCAAGCAAAATATATTTCTGTCCAAGCATTACACGTTAATTTTTTTTCTGTTCCTCGTATACTGTACCATCAAAATGGTTCCTAATCACGCGAAGATTCATAGATTTTTGTTTTGAAAATCCGCACTCTTTCTGTTTGACAGAGGCCCTAAGCACTTCATACGATATGATGATAGTGATGCGGGATTTATCCTTCAACTAATATGCTGTACTGTATTCCGATGAATCAGAACAAAATCCGAAATATGATTTCCTGTTTTAATTTCAACCACTGCAGTGCAACTGGAACATCACACTTTTGAATTGACTCCGTTTTAAATCGCGGAAAAAAATACTGTGACATTCGGAGTTGTTGGGAATGTTTCAACTCATCAGATGACTTGATTGAGGAATGTCCATAATTTAGCAGCGCTCTTCGCAATGCAGGATTGTGCAACTGTAGTACATCGATTTGTATCCAGTGATGGTAGCTTTTTATAGCTTCCTGTACTCCGGGTGATCTTCCAGGCTATCAAGAAAAGACACAAATTTGACACGCACGACACAGGAAATGAATTGGTTCTATTTACGAGTGGAGTTTGCAAATAAATATTTTTGACATTCAGTCAATAAGAACGTACCCCGGGAAGTCTGCGAAATTGAAAGAACGACCGTCTGGTCCAACGTCGAGCTCGTCCAAAGCATGAATTTCATCCGGTGTGAGACAGAAGTTGAAGATCTAAACGCGAATTTTAGACTAATTACAAGAATTGTTTAACATGCTCGTGAAAATGAAACAGTTCCGCCCTTCGTGGCAACTGCTTTTTTTTAATGTAACGCTTAGCGCGATGTTCAATGAGCGTCTTAATTCAAAGCATGTAATTTGGCAGTGGGATGCATATTTTTTTCCAGAAAATTAGACAAAAATT